TGTGCGTTTTTGGGTGTGGACGTCGCCTAAGCCGGTGTTTTAATCTTACTGTTAGATGCGTGCTATCTAGGCCGACGATCCACTAGAGTGCCAGATATTCGCCTTAGTGAGGGACCTCAGAGGCCATTTTTGTCTTCAACTGTGCCTTCAAATACCGCTCTTTGTCCTCATTATTTCGATTCCGCGGTGACGATGAGGTTGCGGCAGAGGCAGTACAAAACTTCAGTTCTTCATCCAGAGTGAGCCTAGAATTGTTCGAACTCCCGTCCCGGCTTGTAAAGGGATTTTTGTTTTTTCCAGAATTTGATCTCAATAGTGCTGAACCACTCAGAGATAACTAATAAATTCACGATCACTCGTGCTCAAGCTCATCGTGGCTGACATAAAAGGACAAAAAGTAACTCAATAAACATAACCCGGAGGCACCACGGCCTTCGATGTTTCCGCTGAGAATGTCACTTATGTAGATGTCACCTTATAGTGTACTTCTAGCATTATTCCCAATCTTGTTAGAGTTCTTAAGAATAAATGTAGAGTAAGTTGCCACGAGGAGAGGGCGTTTGCCCGAAAACCGATTCTGACTCCTCCAACTTCATTGATTATGGAAACATTGATAGAATTTTTGGACACTATTCATTGGAATGGAGGAGGGGAGCGGTGGCCCACAGCGCACGAGAGGGGGCTGAACTTAGCAAGATGGACCAAATTTGGTTTTTAGTAGTTTAAAAGAACGGAGGGTAGAGGTGGTATAGCGGCAAGCGGCGCTTTATCACTACACTCATGGTCCGAGATCGGAATCTCTATCGATATTCGCCTCAGCCGACCATGCCTCCCATTCTTCCAAGGTCGGCTAGGCTACCTTCTTCATCTCACCTTATGCACCTCTTCATCATCTTCCTACAAACTTCTTCGGGCGATTTTCATTTTCGGATCGTCCTGTGAACGCCCATATGCATTTGATCAATATTGATTGTGCACACAAATCAATAGCTATTCTTTGCATTAAGTAAAAAAAAGATGGAGGGAACAAATTGAGAAGTCGGAGAAGGTATAGCCTTTTATTCAGGACTCAGATTACTCCTCTCTATGAGCTACGGCTTGATCCACCGCTCTACGAAGGTTTCGCCCATCTTACTCGGCAATGTTGCGCAGCCGCTCGCGACTGTTGCCAACAAACTCTGCTGCCAAGCAGTCAACGGCCACAGAAAAGTGAGTAACTTATAAGTCTACCTTTAATGATCATAAAACTCAGAGAGGTAATTTCATTGCGCGACATTGGGATCAATGCAATTTACATAAATAAATGTACGACTGAGAAAAAAGCCTCTTGTCCATTTATGGAATGAGGTCCGGAAATTTCTGGTAAAATTAATTACCCGACGTTCAATGAGATGAATGGTTTGCGGGTATAGGAAATTGCATGAATATCGGCTTTCAGGGGAACTTGGTTACTCGAACGGGGAGGCTAGAGTTAAGATGAATCCCAGGGAGGGTCAATAATGATTCTTATACATATTGATCGATGGGGAGTTAGGAGACCTGCTGTTTTTAGGCCAAGCTTCATATTCATTACTTTATGCTTAACCTTAAAACAGTTTTGAAATTTGTGAATTAGATTTACGTAGAGAGCAACTCGAGGGGTGTGGCCAGCACGTACGCGTGCGGTCGCGCGCGGTTGCTGTGCGTTACTGGTACTCGTTGCCACAAATGCAACACCAAAACTAAGGTTGAAATCAAATTCAAAGTAATCGTGATGATTCCTCCCTTTCTTTCAGCTTGTCCAGCTACTTGGGATGGCTGGCAATGTTTTGATACGGCCGAAGCTGGTAGTGTCGTCGAAGCGCAATGTCCACCGTACATTTATGGTGACGCAGCGCGTCCGGACGCATCACAGAGTGGGTTTTCTTACTGTTACATCAAATTTACAAGAAGTTTCTGCATCCACGGACAATTCTAACGAACGATATTGTAGTTGTTAACCAGCTAGTTCTGATGCGCCATGCATTCGATTTCCTTTTCAAAGTGAAATGACATTTGGATGCTAACTTGACCTGCTTATTTCCTACTTGTGAAGGCACGCTGTAGACAGTCCAGCACCCGTAGGCCACTGCAGCGGTGACTGAAGACCAAACAGATTGTCTACCGTCGGAGGTGAGAAAGGGGAGGGAAAGACCCATTTCCTTCTTTGGGCAAGCTTCAGCCTGCTACAGATTCAGCTATAACGGGTAGAACACAGTAATTGACCTGGGCTGTATCCTGCAGAGCATTTGATCGCTAGGTTTCATGGGTTGTTACAGCGCTTCCTGGAAGTAGTCCATCTACAACCCAACTCCAGTTCTAAGTTCTCGATATGAATCCAATCACATAGGGAAGTAGGAATTCCATGTGGTAATCAAGTAAAGGGCGTAACTCGTGCTGGCACCTTCCCTGATTTGTAGGTGTCTGATCAACATTACAAGTAGATGTTGTGAGGAATTTCACGGTACCATATCCCAGTCCCGATTATAAGTGGATTCCCGACAAGCGATTGTTTTGACGTTCAACACCTCAGTCTCATAAATAGTCATGAAGAAGTTGTGATCAAAACAAGTAACGTGTCTGACGCAAAAGCCCACTTGTTACCAGAATGACATGTTTTCTCCAGGGGAACACTCTGAGATATTTAACAGATGATGTCTTCCCAAGGGATCTGACAGGGAATCGGCATTCAGGGTGTGAGCCAAAAGAGTGATGTGATGTCGCTAAACTACATCAGTCTCCGGAACTTGAGTAATGGATATATGACTTGTGGTTGTACTTGTCTTTTTGTGATAACTTCGAAACTGTAACCCCCAGAGGCCTCATAAGGTCGGTTAGATTTGGCCAGATAAAGTAAAGCAACCCAAGAGATGGAGGGGCTCCCTAAATCTGTGAAACATCGACTGGCCGCATGGCTACAGGTGCAGGGCGCCTAAATTCGAGCAAATCATTCATCCCACACAAGTGCGATTCCCTGTGAAAGGAAACTGGCAAAACAAGTCTCGTCAGTAGTCTCCCTAAACTATGCGGGATAGTGTATTGGTAAAAAGCGACAACCAGTGGGACTGAGTCCAACATAGGCTCGACAAGCGCCACATTTTCTCATAGTCTTGCGTTTTCTTCGGGTGCCAGGTTCTGTACTCACCCGGGCGGATACCAACCCTGAGTTGCTTACGGTATAATCTTGGTAAGTCGGAATCCAATCAACTTTGGACTACCGGTGAAATGTTTTCGATGGATGAGAGTCAGGGCACACCGATGATGACCATACGCACCATCGTTAAATTTCCGTTCACTGACCTCATTGCCGGTTTACTTCAGTAATCGTTCGTTACCCAGCTGATTATGATCACCCTAGCAATTCACTGATACATGTAGGCAGCCTTTCTCAACATCCCAACATACCAGTCTGGGAATTTCCTGTCCGTCTCTTTGTTTTTGGTTCTTTCTAGGACAGTCAGGCTTGGTTCAACCAGAACACCAGAAACACCATGAGGTGCATTTAAAAAGTTAGGGTAAAGTATGAAGTAAGGTCTTTCCTCGAAGTGAAATTTAAAGTTTTTGGTTACTCGACTGCCAACTCATTTTGATGCCGAAGCTTTTATTAGTTATTGGCTCCTTTGTGAAATTAAACACCGTCGTCCCGTCACTTCTATTGTTGACATTCCCGCGATGTATAGGTGACTGAGCAAAAGTGTCTGCTTTCAGTGAAACGTCGCCCTCTCATGCTCAAAAGTCTTTAGGGCGAGTTTCTGTGAGAACACAAAGATCGCTACGGCGTGGGAGAGGGGGCGGTTTCCGGAAAAAGAACGAAGGCATGGGGAAAGGGGTCTATGAACGAAATATGTAGATGTGAGGAGATGTTACTTCGACCATGCCGAGATTAATGGAGAGTTGGCCGGCCACGGAATATTCGAAACTGTAAGATTTAAATGAAAAGGGTAACTATTCACTCAGCTGGGCCTCCGTCTATGAGGTCTCCGTACAGGAAAGGTATCCTATCGGATAAACGTAATTCAGATGACTGCATATGTATGTACGAATGCAATTCCTTCTGATCAGAGCAGTGACTTCGAGTCACATGAGCATTCATGGCGTATTCCAGATATCATAGACATGCAATATAGGCTCACACCGAACCTTTTTTCAGAGTCTCGCAAAATGTGTAGCGATACGGCATGGGTAACCCGACCAGGTACGACGAGCGAATGGACCGACTATTCAGGCTGTACAATGGTACAGCAGGTAAGAGTATCTATTAAGTTGTTCCAAATTTTTCCTATTCATTGAGTTTATCGATCGTCTCGCGAGAGAAACAAACATTCAACCAATTTTGCTCCTTCTGAGGTACTGTTTACGTCCATTTTTAGCCACGGCCATCACTAAGTTGGGATACGGTACTGATCATTTCTTGCCATTACAACTGTCCATTATCCTGAGACGCTACAGGCGCACCTTGCTTTCAATGGATAAAACGTTCATCAAGTAGTAGTGTAGTGTAGCCGTCTGCCAGTCCTGTAGCGAATAACAACCAGCGGAAAACGGGATTAATAAAAAGACTACTAGAAGAGAGAAAAGATTATTCTCTGACTATTAGCTCCTACATTTGTGACTCAGACCTTCAAAGGACAACGGCAAAGATTGATTTTTCTGGGGAAGCAACTGATTCAGCACATCCTTACCTACATATTAGGAACCGTGAGAAAATTTTGAAAATCTAAAGGTGTACTTGAGAAGTGCATCTTAGAATAGACTAGTGCTGGAGCCATTGGCTTTTGGAAGAAAATCGCTCTCTATACGAAATTGCTGCTTTGTGGAAGATCTCAACGACTCATCTAGTATCTTGAGACCTGTCTTGTAGGGCTGGATTTGAGTACGGTAACTGGGCTGCTGTACATGATGGATTTTAAATGTTTGTCTCTGTCAGAAGACTTTTGACTTCCACTTCTAGTTTCTGATCTAATTGGAGACGAACATATTGTACAAGGTCTCAATAACATCCTGTAATGGGTTGTGCGGAGACACGCCCACTCGGTGAACCTCGCCCTTTTGTGGGATCGCCGTATTTATTGGGCCTTCCAATTTGTGGAAATTTTTATAGATTCCATTTCCGTTTAGGTAAACCAATGCAAGTATCTTTACTGGTCTCCTACCCCAAAGGTGATCTTTGGACCAAATCGGGTAGCTGCTTAATTTTGCAGAAACATGCCGAGGAAGCACGTGGACGGACGGGGGTGAGCGGTGGTTTGCAATTACCCGCGGCGGTCTCACACATTCCAATTCGATGTGCGCGCTGCTCAACGTTGTCAATTACCGCCCGAGGCAAACGGCTATTTCGGAGGTTACGAGGTGATCGGACCCGAGTTGGCGAGTAAACCGAAGACGAATATGGCGACTACAATGATGAGGGAACGGCCTATAGGGGAGCAGACCCGGATGAACACCGAACACGTTATTTGCAGTTGGTTTCATTTGATTGGGTGGTCGAAACTAAAAATGTGTTGTAGTGGCGAATGGCGCACTGTCAAACCCTTCAATGATCAAGTCCCATCGATACTCCGCCAGGCCAACGGAGCCTTCCCTTCCTCTGTTGTCGTTCAAAAAGTACCAAATTTGTCTGAGTGGATAAAAGCACTGGTTTGAACGTAGGCAAGTCAGATTCACATAAAAATTCTGGAAGGAAGTAATTGCGTGGGCGCCTTAAGAAAAAGGGATGATCAAACCAAAAACTTCCGCTTACGTTCCTGATGTTGGCGTGGGTTCTCCATCCCATACCGGGAATATTAACGCTAGAGGCTTCATTATTCACATCCAAAACGATGCATGTAAAATGCATGACATATCCCATAAGGACTTCACGAAGGTGGCCAACTGGTGTTTTTCGAGTTCTGTAAAGTGCCGTCAACGACCTCGTGCACGCAATGTTATCTACTTCTGCCCTTATAAGGCTTAAACATGAAAGATGATGAATTTTCAGTGAAAAATTAGTTTTCTGGTTTCGAGTAATAGTTAATATGGTAACCAAAAACCTTGAACTATTCTAGGTAAGATAGGAACTGCCAGAACCCATTGGAGCAGAAGATTGGAGGGATCTGCCTAGCGCAATGGCTCAGGTTGCCATTTAAACTTGCAATGTCTACAGGATCATTTCGAGTTGGAGTAGCTAGTCACTTACTCTTCTAAGCCAATGAACAGACAAAGGACAGTTCATATGTGGGCCATAGCTGGATGAGCTCTGCCTTTGTTCTTCTCTTAGGAATTGTTGAGCCTGATGTCCAAGTATATCTAGTGCTTCCATAGATCACCTGGTCGTTGAAGGGAGGATCCTACAAGAAATAAAGCGGCGTTTAATATGCAGGGTGAATAATGAGCATGCAAATTTCATTGTAAAGTGAGCCTGGTCTTCAGAATACGCCATGTATTGACTTCCACCTGTAATCGTATAGACACTTAAACGTATATGAGCTTTTGCTAGACCAAGTATAATAAAGCCTATCATCAGAAGTATCTAACTTCTTTCGGATAGATTTGTTGGAATTGAAAGAAGGGATAGTTGATTGTCGGAATGTATATGATAGAGATACCGGCCGTGTTAGCGTTTTGCGATAACTCCAGCCATTGCCTTAACATAGGTTACCTGAAGTTCCAAAACTTTCAAGTTCCACACTCGATACTGCACATTGAGCCATTCGAAAGAAACATCAACAATCTGTTTTGTAGGCGGATTCGCTTTTAAAATTTATAATAATGATATGCTTTTCAGGAGGCTCAAATAAAATTGCTGGCCGGTATCATCGCCTTTTCAATAAGCGTGGTCTGTCTGATACCTGCAATCTTCATTTTGTGGTTTTTTCGGTAAGTTTCTCCCATTTCCTTGTCTTTTCCCTTGACCAAAATAGTTACAATACAAATATGGGAAGAACGCGTATTGCAGTGGAGCTTCAAGTAACTGGTAGACTAAATCGGGCCACTTAATTTTCGAAGTAGGGTAATCTTAGATCTATATTACCTCTGAGGTCCAATCTGCCGTTTTGGTGGCCATTTTGTAACTCTTATGAAGTCTGTTGTGGGTTACTGTATTATTCCTTGTATGAATACCAATCCGTGTAAACCCTACTGTAGGGCTACGTGTATCGGCAGTTCCTGAACATTCAGGAACTTGAATCAGCACGCGATGTTGTGAGATTATTTCCTTTGTTTTGACCTGACTCTCTATAATTGCTTGATCAGCTGGTCTACAGTAACCCAGAAAGCCTAATCGAACTCGTGGTTTGATTTCCATGCTCCTTACAACATATAAATGTAATATAGTTAAATCTGGTCATGATTGATAGCGTTATGGTTGCCATGACTTCCTAAATTCATTGGGTTATTTGGGGATAAGTCAGGTAACAGCCAGGAAGTAGGTTGCAGTAAGGGGGACAGAAAAAAGCGAGGGCTATGTGATCGATGATCGGGCTGAACTTATAGCCTGCATGGATTTCGTAAGTTTTCTCACTTATCCACTTCCTCTTTGATTCTTTTCTTTTTCCAGGCCGTTACGGCATCAACCGATGTTCATCGTTCATCGGCATCTGCTCACTTCATTCGTACTTTCGGGTCTTTTCTACCTGTTCAATTGTTTTTTCTTTGTCGTCGACGGAGCACCCGGTGACACACTCATCTTCGCTAATCATGTAAGTTATCTAGTATTTTCTGTTTTATCTGTTGGCCATCACAGTGGTGTCAGCTGCTCCGGAGTCTTCAATAAGACTGAAACTACCCTTTTTACCATCTGAACCGAGAAGAACGAATTTTTTGAGGGAAATGAATGGAATTTTCGGTGCACTGTATCTTTTTTATAGGCACTTTCGAGCCCCTAATTGAAAATGTCAGTGCTTTCAATCTCTTAGTTGAATGTAGCATCAAGAGAGGATACGGAGGATAGGCTTGAAGGGATAAAAGCTTGGTTGTCGTAGACAGACGACAGAACCGAATACATATGTGGCTCGGGAATCGTCTTGCCGGCCCGCACTCGTAGAAGTACGCCATTAAGCGCTACCAACCTCTGCTCCGAGATTTTTTTCTGAACAGAAAGGTTTCTGATTTTGCCAAAAATTGGGTGATAAACATCGCTAGCAAGCCGAGTACCAAACGCTCTCGGAGATAGTAAAACAAGCGAGTTCAGCACTAGCTTCTAGGAGCTTCGTAGCAGAATCTGGATTGTTACTTACACTTGGAGTCCATTGACATTTCACTCCCAAACTACTAAGCTATTTATATACATAGCTCTCTGATGAATCCTGGTCGCTACGGCCAGAGTACGGCCGTCGACCGACTCCTTGTTGAACGATGTCCGTGTAGAATTATTCACTAGATCCTCTATTGTGCTTCAACACGGGCTCAACAAAGGAGCGACGACACTCTGCCATTCCAAAGATTCGAACTTTGGTTTTTGCATTCTGAAAAGACCCTTAGGGGCCAAACAAGTGGAACAAAAGGAAAAGTAACGATTAAGTGGTATTAAGCTTGCTTTGGGAATACTGAAAATGTCTCATAACCTCCAAAAAGTTTCTTTCAACTCCACATTACCGCAAGTTTTTCATTCCTTTTGACTGGAAGTGAACCACTGAAAAGCAATAGTAGTACAACTGAATACAATAAACAAAACTGAACTTTCCTAGAAAAAACAAGCTCTTGAGCCGAGTTTGTAGGATTTTTTGATCAACTACGGCCAGGTAGTCCAATTGGCTAAATGGCATCGTAATCAAGCAAATGAAAGCCGTTTTAGATTTCCTGTCGATTGCTGTTTCTGGTTCAACTTCGTTTCCTTCGCCTGGCTACCTTCAGCTGGATGTTAGCCGAAGGAGTTCACTTGTATAGATTACTTATAAGCGACAGCGGTGACAGTGAAAACCTTACTATCTACAAGTTACTCTGTTGGGGTGAGTTGTGCCAGTCAGTTGTCAGTTTACTCGAGTAAGAACTTCGAGAACCTTTGTTTCCTTATGTAATTGAAAGTACATTTATTTTGTTCCTAGGATTATTCTTTCCAATACAGGAGTGCCAGCGGTGATAGCCGTCGTTTACGGTGTCTTACGCGAAAGCCTCGACAATGAAGGATGTTGGGTGTCGCCATCGGTGAACGGTTGGATCGAATCCACCATTATCATTCCGTGTATCCTAGCCCTATCTGTAGGTTTCTAATTATGCCTCCTTTTTGTTGCCTCAATTGAATTTTTCAATGTAATATAAAAAACTAGTTGTAGTGGTTTATTATTCAGCTATATGTTTCTGATTTCCACTATCTCAATTAGGTATGACATTCCAACTAATAAAATCAAGTTTGACTCAGAGGCTACTTTTAATAGGGTCGCTTGAGAGAGGTTGTTCTCGGTGCAATCCTATTTTCGTTCATGTTAGTTACACTTGATATCACTGTCTTTCTCGGTCGCATCACGTGACATGCGAAAAATTCGCGCGGCAAAAGAAAGTTTCTCATCATTGAACACAAACTGCGGCCTATGACCCCACGCGACTGTCTACCGTATTTGGGGGACGTGCGTTTCTATCGTTTAATAATGAGGTCGTACCGCACGATGTGGCGCATAGCGCAGGCAAGAGTGGAACCAAACCTCGAGGTGACGATTCCTAACTTCGTCTTGATTGCACCTGCTCGGGCACTGAAAAATAAGGAGAAGTTCTGAGGATCAATGACGCAGGCGATAGAATCGCATCACACCCACCATATTTATGTATTATTTAAATATCAGTTGGTGAAAAAATGTAGAGAAATGTAGAATAGAGCTAGGTTTTCCATAGCACTACCTTTATCGTAGTCACAAATTTCTCGGACGGACAGACAGACACAGAAACCGACATATGAAGTTTCTGCTTTATCAATGAGAGAGACAAGCTTCATCGCCTTTGCTAAATACTAAATATTTAAAGAATGGTGGCAAGGTATAACTACTCCTTGGAATACTGTAATTGTCCGTCAAAATCACTAGGATCCAAGTCAAAGATCATATAGACAATAATCGCAATGTAGTTCAAGCATAGATTCTTACCGTAATCTCAAAATTCAGTCTAAGTCCTCCTTACCATGATTCCATTACTTTTAGAACCTCTACTTTGCATTTATATTAATGCGTATTAATGCGGACTGTTTTACGACATTTTAAGATTGGTAGTAGTTTTGAGAATAAAGGGATTACGGTAGATGATTAATTCCACATTGAACTTCCATACCTGTTTTGGCGATGATTGACAACACTGTTTACAGTTATCGTTTTTTAGGTGAATGTCGTGCTAATGTCACGAATACTGTACATTTTGGTGAAAAAACTTCGACACGATCCACATTTGGAGCGAATGCAATATAAGTGAGTAAATTCCGGTGACTAAAATTTTTAAGGGCTTTTTAAGGGTTTATACTTGACGGACAAGTCGCATCTCCAAGTTTTTTTTTTACCTAAAAGATATTTATCAAATGCTAAAAGATAATTGTGTTGGTCTGCTAGGTATGTAGGCCATCTAGGTGTAGGCCTGGTCGTGTCAGTTTCTAAGAGACCATCCGAATAGGACTTTTCACCCGGAACTTCCAATTAGCGAACCAGGAACTTCCCGCAGCCACATATGGCCAATAATATAGCTGGAATTAGATTTCGCATTATGGAGCCCAGGCTCGTGCGGTCAGTTCACCAATATCAGGTCCTTCTTGCAAATTGGGGCCCTAAATACGTCCTCGATTTTTTCCGATTTAGAATCTATTTTTATCCGAAGAAGACGATAGCTCAGTTTAGAAATGTAGAGGCATTGTTCTCTGGCATCGTGTCAAATTTCTTTTCCTTCGGCGTCTTCAATTACACATTCGCCAAGTGATACTGATCCCTGAACCGCCCCGACGCATCTTGCAATTGATTCGACCCAGAAAATATGCATGAGGGGTTTTAAGTTGGCAAGGAAGTTCTGCCTGCAACAACGGAACACGATGGCATGGGTGATAAAATCTCAAAAGATTCCCCGGGCGGAAATGGTGTAGTGGCAGCGCACTATCTCACACGCACTATCGCCACAGATTTGAATACCGGAACGATATCCGTCTAAGCCAGCCAAGCCTTTCATCCTTCCGGGGTCGGTACTAGAAGCCGGGCTTCTGGGCAAAGGCTGACTTCAAAAAGGCTTCAGTGATTTGCTTACTTAAGGGTTGTGTCACCCTAGGAAGCGGGGTTCCTTTGAGCTCATAGATGCTCTGTTGATCTTGCCCAAGTCGGGAGACGGGCGTTAGGAACGATTTTGGGTAATCGATTCGCCGCACGCGGCTGTCGCGGACCACTCATTCGCCGTTATTACAGCTCTGGCGTTCTTCATACAGCTCAACCGNCCTCTCACCGCGACGCGACCATTTCGTTCCTAAACACCACACCTGCCCAGGTCCCAGTCATCACGAAGTTGATCCAACTTCTTCACGTGGTAACGAATTTCGGGATTATATTAATTGTAGAAATGAATTCAGATTGACTTTCTTTTGTTGAAAAACTTACTTGTCAGGCTATAAATACCTATCTTAATGCAGTTTTTCTAAAAAATAACTTCATTCCCAATCATCTTTACTGAATCATATCGAGTAAATAATAGAGGAATTTCGGGAAGGCCCAATTGGAAATCGGAGGACGGCAAAACCCCACCCCTTTTCGAATGAATGGGAAGCCTTTGATACAACAAGCAAAGGAACAACACGAAAATTCTGTATTCGAAAATCCTCTCGTAGGATTCAATTTGAAAACTCAAAGGGGTGCAAGTAATCGACGGCAAACTACTCGCAACACATTTCGGTACGTTTTTTGATGATGTTTTTTTGCTCGGTCCGTTAAAACCATCCAATACTCAGAACAACTTTCAACTTTGTTTTTTTTATCTGGAGAAAATGTGAAAAATCCCAACATAGGAGTCCTTGTGCGAGGGGAAAATCTGAAACTTTCTTTTGAATTACCTTGTCAGTTGCTTTATCCGTAGTGGGTACAAATTGCCATGCAGGTTCAAGATGGGGGCAACCAAATCTTTCATCCTTCCCGCTTTAGTCAATTGGTAATAAGCCCGTGTGGAAGGAGAAAGGAACAGTTTTGTATATAGACTGGCTATATGGGTCATTGTATGGAGCACCATAAGAAAAGGGGTGCGATTCGTTGCGCGCGTCCGTCGAAACTAGGTCACGCCGCAGCNATCGCATGCGGCGGGTCAGCCCGCTATCTTTGACAAACGTCGCGGTTGTCAGCGGGGCATACGAATTGCGCTCAGTCCACGAAAGTGAGCCAAAGAGAAGATAACACGACGAAGGAAATCATTCGCTCCACCGGCACTTGGTGTTACTGTAGTGTCGTCTCGAAACCTCACAGGGGTGCGCCGCGCGCGAAGTGGGCGGGGTGACCTACTTTCAACGGACGCGCGCAACGGACATTCTCCTAAGAAAAGGAATCCGTCCTTATTTGAATACACCGCATGAGCGGACGAGCGCCAAATCGATTTTAACTCCGAGTATGATCCCACGATCTTGTATGTCTCTGTCTTACAAATGATCTTATGGATTATTCGTCTAAAATTCGACATTTCAATATTATCATGAACTAAGCCTTCAACTTGTGAAGGAAAGAAATCAAAAGGAAAGGATAGGGTTCTTAGCTTCGGACATTCTTGTTTATTTCTCTTCATTTCTTTATAATTCCTTCTCTTTTCACATCATTGTTAGTTATGATTTCAGAAAAGCCGTACGTGCGGCAGTGATTCTGATACCGGTATTTGGCCTGCAGTTCCTATTCACTATCTATCGCCTTCCAGATCTTACACATCAAGTAATTAATCTTGTACTCGATGGATTACAGGTAATAATTTATTATGAATGACATGAATATTGAGTTTAGCCAACTCCTTTTTGGGAACCTACCGCCTATACCAGAGCTTCATACAGCTCTTAGCTCTAATTAGCCCCTCCCCAGGTCAGTAATTAGTATAGGCCGCTTTTTACTACTAGGGAGAGCTTTTCTGGGATTTCATCGAGTCTCTAGGATTCGTCCCGGACCCCTAGAGAGCTTAACCATTTCAGAGTTGTTTATTTACTTGAGATTAAAAGAAGAGTAACTTGCAAACGACTGATCATTATTGATCCCCCCCCCCCCCCCCCACTCACCTGTGTAGGATATTGCGGCTGCCTGATCAGGAGCTCTCACTTATTTCTGATTCCTGATCTTCAGGGTTGTGCTGTATCGATAATCTTCTGTTATACAAACAAATCGGTATGGGATTGTGCTCGAAAATGGTGGAAAGGCGTATGTGATACTCGTTCGGTGAAAGCGGATATTCGAGCTCGAATGAGTGTACAACTCGAATCGAAACTGCCGCTTGTGTCTAAATCTTGAATTGTTTTTATCAGTATTGATTGATGTTTATTTGAAAATCGAATAACCAATAAAGAGTTTTAAATATGTTACAGATTTCTGGCACGAAATGGAGCTTCCAGGGTTTCTACTGTTCTTAACTATATGTTGGTGGACTTGTAGTAAAAGGAAAACCTTTTTGAAGTCAGAGGCACACTTGGGATAACTATGGGTCTAAGATTTCCCCGTAGAATGAATCTATGGTCGAACTTGGCGAAGATAGCAAATGGGCTGCTGTCGGGTTGTGTCGGACGTCGACAGGGCGTTATAATCCTCTAAAACCGGCTTGGTCGACGCAAACACCCAGAAGTGGACGTGTTATGACGGCCTTGTTAAGGCTTAGGATGCCGGAGAATAGTACGCTTATGTGTGAGGCAGCCAGACGATTACAGACACTGAATCTCGTACAAGCCACTTTCTCACTACCTCTATGAAGCCTTATATTTCCTGAAATCTATCGACTTTCGCGCTGGTTTGCTCCATAACTTCCATCACTTTACTTAAGCTAGATAACTCAGAATTATCATGAACTGTGCCTTCAAAGATCATAAAATTCGTAAAGCTGTGGGGTTCGGGTATGGAAATCAAATGGCTCTTTAAATTGGCTCATTCATACCCTTTAATGAGTTCAAAAGTCAGTCGCTATTTCCAGTCGGTATATCGTTAGAACAGATCGAATAGAGATTAGGTTTAATTGCTCGTAAACAGAGGCTCATTTCTATTTTACGACTCTTTCACTGATCGTTTTTCAACTTTTTGGTCTTTGTAACCGGAATCGAAGTAGGTTTGCCTTCGCGATGTGTCGAGTTTACAAACGAGGGACCGCACTTATTTATTCATTTATCCAGAAACTGTATTCGTGAAAACTGAAGCATTCATGCGAGATACCGTGCAGATAAAAGGTTGAATTCACAATTCACGAATTCCGGGTGCCTTTTTTGGGTCGAAAATCGGAAGTATGCTGCAGGACAGTGCGAGTCGGTAGCGATGAAGACGAGAAAATTCACATAGTAACGAGATTGCCATGACGGAATAGGTATAAAAGAAGTGTTTGGACGATATTTCAGCTATAAGCAGTTGCACAAAACGGTGGCTACAGTAAGCGAGACATGCCAAAGAATGGCTTACATTCTGGTCTCACGTATATCACAAAACAATCTTTTTCATTCGTATGATGCAAAAAAGCTACTCAGCGTTTTTCTACATCCAGAACACGCTATTTGCAATGTTGCATCAAAACTATTCGAGTAATTCCCTCGACGATCATGGCTTGGTAGAAAATTCATTTTTGCAACATTTGAATCTCCATGTTTAAAGAAAAGTTTTTGTGTGAAACTCTCAATGGAGCAGCGGGCGGGCGTTTCGAAGCCAATAGATTACCTTTCTAATATTGAGGGTGCAAACTTGACCAGCAGGTGTCTGACTATTTTTTAGAACGTTGGTAGTTCCTGTCATCCTGAATTCCCAGCTTCAATAGAATAAACGCAAAGAAGACGAAAATGTAGTAACTCAATCGAACTAAATGCGCTTCAAAGCGAGTGCAATGAAAGCAGCGGTCCAGCTCTTCTATCTGTGCATTCGCATTATGAGGCAGAAACAAGTAGAACAAACCCCCTAGTCAGACTTCTAATGATTGAACTCTAACTGGTAAGAATGTTTGTCGGTGGTTCCTGGACCACACTATTTGCCAGCTTACAAGGGCAGAACCTGAATTTTAGAACTCAGAGGTCCATCAGAGAACATATCCCTTGCTGTATGTTCCCAAAAAGCACCTTTTGTACTCAGTGAATGGTCTCAAACCAAGTAGAAGCTCAACTGAACTTCTACACATACGCAGTACTAAAATAAAAGCTGTCTTTCGTAAAAAGTTTTGAAGGTGGTTAATTTTTCGAATCTTCCGAGAGCTCCGTATAGAAATTGAAACCTTTCTTGTGAAATCGTTAATCGATTGGAATCGATTAGCCGATTGGAATGCGGGTTGAGCGCCTCTGAGAAACGCTCTTTCGATTAGACCCCGAATGAATTGTTCTTTCGCCACGCTCCAAGCAGCTAGTAGACCCGACGCAAATACGGCGTCAATCAGCAGGCGCTCTTATATGAAGTCGAAAGATATCGTCATGTGTGGTCCGGCGTCGGAGGGTTATCTGTTCATCCCTTCGGGGAATTTCCCTTCGGCACAAACTCGACCAACAAATTTTGCATTTTTCAGCATTTATTGCTCAAAGAATCGCCATTATGTGTAGGCAATTAAAGCTTACGATGACTTCTCATACTCTTTCGGTAAGAAGAACACCAGAAATCAGCGAAAGCGTAAACAGTATCGAAGACAAAATTACTGTACCAGTAGAAGTTGCTGACGGTAGCCTCGTGCGATGCCTCATATAGGGTTGCTCCTGTCAAATAATTCCTTCAAAGAGGACGAGAACTTGGTCGAATGTCATCGGGAAGGACACTTCGTACTCCTAAAGGGGCCAAACTAATACTGAACCCCAAATCAATCTCGAGACATTCTTAGTAAAGGAAGACTTGTGAAAACCGTTGGTTTGGGAGAAAACCTTGTGTCCTGAGCATTCTAGAGTTCTTGTTTGTGAGTTCGTGAATCCTGTAACTGAATCGAACGCCGTCTGGTCGCATTTCAAACAAACTCTTTTCGATAGTCATGTTTTGCTTGACGACGGTATTTTTCTCGCACTCTACGGAATTGACATACCTCACGTGAATACGGCGTCATACCTTCGTCGCCCATATGGGCAAACTGATAACGCTTAGTTTATGTGTGGTCCGGAGTCGGAGGGTTATCTATTCGGTCCCCTCGGGGAATTTCCCTCTGGCACAAACTCGACTGCCGCATTTTTTGCATTTTCCATTGTTTACATACAACCGACTGAAAATTGAAGAACTTTTTCGGCATTCCTCGATCACTTTGACACAAGCCAAGCATGTCGTGCCCTTCCAATCTAGTATCAAGGCTGCAACGGCACCGGTGATCAGACCGGAATTTTCAGCTTCACAGAGTAAACAGACAGGAGGCATAATGTGTAGAGGGCCATGAAGAGGGTGAATATCGTTTATGGTCCTGAAAAACTCTGAAAAAGTCTCAAATCGTAGAAAATTCCATAATCCTGGAGTTCTTACGACTTAAAATCGGTCCTGTTGTATCAAACGATGGTGTACTGTGGGTACTGTGGACCACAAACAATTATCCGTCAAAAGTAGAGGAGATACTACAGTCGATGTTGGGAAGCTCAGTAGAACAGCCAAGAAATTGATGTTACCGGTAACAATGACTGACAATAACAAACCTTCACCGCAATGTATCGCGATGAGCTATTCTCCTAGTATAAACGAACCCTTGGAGGATGGGAAAAAATACAGTCTTGGATGTTTCCATTCCGGACAGAAGGTTTTCTGCGACTTCATGAATCTCAGAATTGTGTTGAGTTAGAATTAATGGCAATTTGAAAAATCGCTACCATTTGTAAACAATTTTAGCTTACCAAGAATATTTAAGGTGCGTTTAACGTACTTATCAAACTCGTCTTAAATACGGCGTCAAACGCGTGGTTGTTGCGGAGGTGGGGCAGTCGTCGTTGGACGCCTCGTATCGAAGATCCATTTTGGAAAGAGCATTCATGAGTTTCAGAGTGGTGGGCAGTTAGTAGTTCCGGGTAATTCCAGCTTACCCATAAGGACCAGGATGGGTTTGGGAGATAGCAATTCAGGGAGACAGCAACTTCAAACAGTCTTTAAAACAGGCAGCGGGTAAGAACATAGTAGGTTTCAACCTCTTTACTTTGTCATTCCGAAAACATAAACAAACACACCAGATAGACCTTTTGGAAAAATTTCTGTCAATCGATCTCAAGGAATAACCTGCCATGGATTCTCTGGAACAGTATGACCCATTGGCTTTTGGGCACATTGATGACGTTTCTGAAATCAAAGAGCAGTCAGTAACGCAAATAAGATAAAGCACCCACGGATACTGAAAGACTGTCTTCAGCAGAAAGCGGTGGTGCTAGTTCGGAGAACATTTTGAGGCCCGAGCAGCATCGGATGCTGGCCAGTCCGAGAATTCCTTCAGAATCCATGAATCTTAAATCCGAATCGAATGGAGGACGAGTGCTGCCTAGAAAGCCTCTCCTAGCGCTCCTCAGAAACTTCTGCTTGTTGGCTACGCTTTGCGAGTTCATTAGACCCGACGAGAATACGTTGCTAAGCGTTGAGCTCCTTCATAGTAGCTGGGAGGAAGGGCACCATGAATGGTCCGGCGTCTGAGGGTCATCTGATCATTCCTTCAGGAAATTTCCCTTGCCACAAACTTGACTAGTTTACTTTTGCATTTTCAATCGCTTTTTTGCAACTAAATAGAATTATGGGAATCTTTTTTTGGCATTGTTCAGTCACTTCGATTAAGCCCGGCCTTTTGGGCCTATTTAATCTGGTTTACTCATGAATGCAACAGCAGTGGTCATCAAACCAGATTATGTAGCCTACACGGAGGAGATAGGATGCATACTGTAAAGAGGGTTATAGAGTGGGTGAATATCGTTTATAGACCTGGAGAACTCGGGGAGGGTCTTAAGTCCTAGAAATTACTAGAATCTAGAAATCTTTTCGACTAAGAATCGGTCTCTTTTCATCAATAGTGTAGACCGCAAACGGTTATCCGCTCTTACCACCAGAGGAGCTGGGAATAATCAGAACTCAAAAGTAGAGGAGATAGTTTATTCGATGTTCGCAAACTCAGTAGAGCAGCCAAAAAAAATTATGTTACCAGTAACAATGACTAACGATACCAAGCCTCCGCTGCCATGTTACTCAATGAGCTATTTTCGAAGTATAAACGAACCCCTTGACAATCGGAAAAATTGGGTTTTGAAGGTCGCTATATCAGACAGAAGTTCATGAATCTCAGAATTGAGTAGAATGATGATTAGTAGTAATTTAAAAAATCGCTATCATCCGCAAACCATTTAACC